GGAATCTACTGCAAGACCTTGATTCATTTATTTTTCAATTACTCTGCTTTATTATTTATTTTCTGCTGTATTTGTGTTTGGGATCATTGTCTTTTTGCATGACCCAATTTCAACAAAGCTTTAGCTGTCAAACAGATTGCCTCAAATTTGACTCTAGAATACTTTGGTATTCAGTAGAATGCCTGATCAAGTCAATGAATGCAAGATGAACATTTCCTGTGTCTGCACAACAAGCCCAAACTGTCAACCTTCCACCACTGTGCTTGACAGCTAGTATGATGTGCTGTGTTGTGATGTTTGCATTATGACCAAACATCTCCACTTTGGTCATTTTTGGCCCACTGCCTCAAAAGACTTCGTTTCTCACATGACTGTAGTGTGGCTCAAGACTGACTCACTGGGAAAATTCGTAGCGAATTAACACTTCTGAAACACATGACCCACAAGTACAAGGAATTTCATGGCCGCCCTCACATTTCTCACAATGGACGCAACAAACTAACAAAGATGGAACAACACAGAATAACACAAAGCAGGCATTTTTAAGTAGCTTCCATACAGTAACCCCCCAAGAAAACAAAGTACCTCCACTTAAACTGCCCACAACCACAATTATTATTAATTACTTTAATGGTTTGTGGTTAATAGTGTTGCTTAAATATTTCCAGACTGTCTCCAAGGCAAAAGCAATCAAATTTAGACAGAGGCATTTTTCATTTTATTTTGTTTACAAACAGCTCTGTCAGACAGCCAATGCAAGGATGGGGTAATTATATGGATTTGGCCCATGGTTATAGAGTCTTTACTGGTTATGTGTATGAACTTGACAGACCATCTTAGAGCAGCCTACGTTTTACATCTATATGTCAACTGAGGACTTGGATGCTGTTAATTGGTTATTCTAGACAATAGAATCGTCAGACTTTCCCATGGTGTCCTCATTGTGCCATTTTACCGATCAATCAGTCCATCACATTGTAAATTTTAATCTCTTTCTCTCAGAGGTCCTATTAGCTTCTAGCCTCATTGAAAACAAACATATAAGCATAGTTGGTTTTAACAAGGCCACGAGGCACAGTAACCCATCTCACCCATTAAGCGGAAATGCCTCAACTCAACCACTGGAAAAAGGGGAGGGGGTAGGAGATTTTTCCAATCCTCCAGGGATGTCATTAATAGCCATTTCATTTAGTCTGATTCATTAAAAAAAATGCAATTTCCTGATGCAAGGAACATTTATAACAGTGCAGGCCACATAAATTGCCAGGGGGTTGTTACAAGTGTGCTTTTAAATTGTTGCTTTAACCAAAACAAATCTAGCAGCTCCATAGAGCAGTGCAGGGCGCCCTTTAAGTACCCAACCATGTACAGTTCCAGTTTGAAGCAAATTATTAGAAACATGGTAAACCCCTTCACAGAAGCCACGAACCACAGACACGGGTTACATGAAAAAAAAAAGAAAAAAAAAAAAAGCTGAAATAAGAAGCCATCCAGCAACAGACATCTTGGGCCACGTTAACAAGGGATTAACACGACTTTGAAAGCCTGTCTGCACATTTTGGAGATTTGGTAGAGTAAAAGACTTTTTACGCTCAGTGTTTAATACCAAAAGGATAGCACTTACAAAATGATCAACCATGTCAACAAAGATGCAAGACTACATCAGGTACATCAGGTAACCCAAAAGTCCTGTCTTTTTTTACTGTTGGGTGTTCTGTACTAGAATTGCAACACTTTAGTTTAGCACCACAAACGTATATACTGGAAGAGTGCATCCTTTTCAAAGACATTTTTACAGTTTGCTTTTTCCCACCCTCAGGAAGACAAAACCAAAAAATGATAAAAATTAATGGAAAAATATCAAGGAAAAAAATAAAAACAGCAATGCACTGACACATTCATAGATACATTTATCCAGTCGCTCAACCCTGATTAGTAACTGTATTCTGCAAGACATCCACGTTGCACAAGGAAAAATCAGTCTGCCAGTTGTTTTGTGGGACTCAAACAATGCAGATGTTAATGTTGGCTCCGGGTGAAGGTTCTATCAAGCACAGAGGCCAGCAATAGAAAATACAGCCATGCTGTTGACCCATTTCTACAAAAAGCCAATGGGCACATCTCTGCTCGTCAAATAGACCGGATCACTGGGATATCTATGCTATTAATACTGGGAATGAGAAGAAAGTCAGCCACGCCACATTCCAAAGGCCTCGACATTCCCACATATTAACAGGGCTCAGAATGAAATCCAATACTTGGCATCCCTTCCCTTCAAACTCCAAAACGCCATCCTGCCATGTCAAATCGCTTTCTGATTTCATCTGGGAGGAACGTTCCAGAGTCACGAGCTCCCAGTCTAGCTAAAGACGTGTTATTATAAGTGGGAACAAAGTTGGCACTAGTAAAATCTTAGAGCTAGTTACCATGACTCTCAAGAGGGAAAAGATGCAGAAATTCTCAGAGACTGTGCTCCTCAAACACCCTGCAGTCTTGTCTTCTTGAGAGGATGAGCGATCTCCATCAGTAAAACAGAGAGATTGTTCTCTTGAACCAGTTTGTTTTCATACATGTTACAGCTCACAACTGCGCTCTCCGATTAAGTAGATGTGCCTTTGTCACCTTGCCACCTTGATCTGACTTCTCATGCTTTGCACTACAATGTGAATGGCTACTAATCTTGCCTGGGTGAGAGGTCAACAGCTGCAGCATAGAGGACATAGGGCTTCTGGGTAATGTCTGGAATGCTCCGCCGAGACAGTTATAGCAAAGAAGACAGGAACAGCTCTCCAAAGTGACGAGCACTTTTTAAAATAGCCTGTGGTAATACTGTACTGAACTGAAGCACTGTAAAGAGGAGATATGCTTACACATCATAAGCCCCAGAAAGTGTGTCACTGGCACAAATACAATAGCAGCATTTGACACACACTGTGTGGGGACTTCCAGTGAAGGGGAGAGAGGACCAGCAGCATTTTTCCTAAAATCTTCCAGGGTTCTGCCCCCCAGACACTGTAACTACTCTAATGTGAACGCAACATGAAGATGATCCTGGCCAAAAGATCAGATAGTTGACGTCCAAGCAACTTTACAGAGCTCATCTCTTTTTTCTCTCTGTCCCTATCCTAATGAGCAGGCCATTGAGCTGCCAGTCAGCAGCAGGGCTGAAGCGATAAAAGGCCAACCCTTGCTTAATAACTCCCCCTCACACTCCCTCTAAGCCTGAGAGAGCAGTTCATGCATCCGTAATGGTCGATAAAATATGAAAAGCCCCGAGAGCGCTGACGGCAGCAGAGGGTGTATATGTACACTTTCGTTAATGCTCTCCGGGCACGCTGAATCTTTTAGTACTGTCGCTCTGTTTGCCCCCCAGCGCACATGGATGTAGGAGGTCTTCCAGCAGACTGCAGAGTAAGCTTTTAATGTGGTGGAAATAAATATCATCTTGTTCACACTGCAAAAAGACATCAAAGAAAAACACACACGGCCCTTTGACTATATAAATGAGTTTTGCCTCTGGTTCAGTGACCTTAAAATGCAAAACACCAAAAGGGATGAATTACATGAGTGTTACAGAAATAACATGTGTCTCGTGTTTTTTCATATTGCTTTTACTGCTGCATTAGCTGTATAAAAGTCTCCAGAAAAGAAAACATCACTCTAAAATGCTATGTTATCTAGTTGGAAGATTTTCCATAAATAAAACTTATGCCTCAGTAAACCCTAACCCTCTTTACGTCCATCATATCACCAACAATCCATCTAAGGTTAGGGTCAAGTTTGTTTTAGCCACATGCCAAACAGCCGGTTTCAAATGACATCTTACATGTTCTGGGACAAGTTGTTTCTTGCAAGGTTCTCATTTTGAGTTTTCTATGAAATTTTTTTTTTTTTTTTTTTTAAAAAGGGGTAAACGTTCACCAAATCCCACACCTATGCCTAGTCCTAACCTTAACCTTGAGGGATGTTAAGAGACTAAGAAGGGATTCCTAATCAATTTCTTAGTTGGAAATTTGGACGGCTGGTGAATGAACTCACATGACCATGCTTTCAAAGCATGCAAAGGATTTACAGCTGACAGACGAGCCAAAAGAGTAAAGCTGGGTGTTTTCACCGCTCTGAGGGGCCATGTAGCCATGTACTGGCATCCCTTAAGGAAGCTTTGAAAGGACTGTCAGTTAAAAAGAACTGTCTTCCATACACACTCAGCCCCCAGTGTCTATAATGGGTTGCATGGGAGGAATATGGAATGGAAGATGACTGTGTGATTGATGAAGATGTGTGATCACTCATCATCTAGGTCCCAAAATAGCATCCATTTTACATATGATACTATCCCATCACCCTTCAGTCTTTTAAATGTGAACAATTCCCCTGAAATGTGCATTAGACATCTTGTAATGTGATTTGGTTGAAACTAAATGTTGATGTCTTCCAACTCACATCTGCAGCAGCAATAACACTGAACCTCCGATCATCCATGAAACTCCCAAAACTTCTAGAATCTCATGTCAAACTGAACCCAAAAGCATCACTATTAAGCCAAAACTGTTCCTTACACAGTGCAACAGCACACATGTGGGTACAGCAAGATGTCCTGTCAGCACCGTTGGAGAACGAGCCCAAACATCAAGACCGCATTCATTTCACAACCCAACTTTTGCTCCCGTTTATGAGCTATAAAGCCACTGTAGTGAAAAACGATTGTAAAATACTGCCCTTCCCTCCAATCACAACAGCACAAAATGTGGAAACTTTATCACAGGGGAACAGCAGCCCTTGTTGCCCACCAGGTCTTTTTTCCCCCTTCCTCTCTATGAGCACTCCTACCTGATGTTTATTTTATTGCCTGCAGAAATCTTCAAATTTTCCTGCCTGGACTAAGTAGCATGAGCATCTGTAGCCTGTCATGGGTGAACAAGACTACCGAATAGCTAATACTCACAATGACCGGGAAGGGTTAAGAGTATCAGTATCCAGATCAAGTATCGCCTACTTACCCACTTCAGACCGGTTGCACTAAGAGATGAACCGTCTCTGTGTTGCCTCACTAGCAAATGAAAAAAAAAGTTAGAAGAAAAATTTAAAGCAATCCCGCATCTTCTGCTTCTACGCAACCGTTTTTGCTTTTTGGAGCTTCATGACCAAATTCCATGGGTTTGCAGAGTTTGACAGACGCCGTTTAGTTTAGTCTGCTTCACCTCTCCGAGCTTCTGAGCTGAGCTCTAGATTTCAGCTGACTGTGCTGGGAGCTGAGCTGTTGACATTGTCCCCGCTCTCTCTCTCTCTCTCTCTCTCCCCTCCCTCTCCTGCTCTGTCTCTCTCGCTCTCTCACAGTCTCTCTGTCTTTGGATTACTAATCTACCTTCCCCTCCCCTTCTGGATTCCAGCTCCAGCATATGACAGCATCCATGTGGATGTCAGCTAAAATGTTATGGATTTTCAGTGAATATACCATACATGCATTTACCTTATACTATAGTATCTGTGCGTGTCTGTTATGAGAGGCCATGGGAGAGGGCAAGCTAAAAGGAAATGACCCTCAACGGCCTGTGCTTCCTATGCCTGCCCGCAATTCCAACTCCACCCAACACATTTAGGTCTAAATGAGCAGTCGATGTAGGGATATCACACACAGTACCCAAAGGAAACCTCTTTCCTGCCCCGTCCTCTCATCTTTAACACATGCATAAAAGCACACACGCCCATAAACTGATGTGCCAAATATGGCGTTGTCCATTAGGAATTACCCCTTTGACACAGACAGGAAAAGGATTTCCCTGTGATTTAGTCATCAGTGTTCATTGAGAAAAAGGTGAGTCAGAAACCTTGATACACAAAGATCTCTTGGCTTGGTCAAGTTCGCAGTATAAGCTCAGCCAAATGTAATGTGTGGAAGGGTGGAAAGGAGCTGAAGGGTGGGGAGGAAATCAGCTGGAGGGCCACACCACAGAGGGTTCAGAGAATTGGAGTTCAAGTATGTTACTTGTGATAACATGAGTGGCAAGAGAGTGCGAACAAAAACTTCAAGACACCGGAGACTTCCTGTGAAAGACAGAAACCATCATCTCTTCATCTCCACCCCTCCTTACACCCAAACCTTCAGCCAGACAAAATAAAACACCTATGCAGCAGTTTATCAGAGTTTATGGCCCTCCCACCCTGCCCTTTCCCATCACCAACTGTGCTTCCAATGCTTCTAGCACCAGATTAACACCAGAAAATAAAGTCAAAGACCACAAAAATCCAAGTTTCATTAATTTATCAGCAGGGGGCCACTCTTCTAATTGCAAAAAAAAAAAATAAATAAAATAATATTACATCTAACATTACATTTAGAAGCACTACAGCTAACTGGAAAATTTACCTCAACAAAACATCTGTATTGTATGCAGCATAATATCCATTTAGTAAACTATCATCGCTTGTAGAGATAATTATATGATAAACTATGGTATGCTTCATCACCACTGACAAGTCTGAGTATGAGCATTCTAAAGTGATCAATATGTCTGAAAAAACATTGACATGTCAATCGTGATCTTTAGACATCGACAGCTTCCTGACCACAACTGACTCATCAATACTATTGATGGGTCATGCAGACTGAGGTCATATGCCGTCGTCTTACCTTTCATGGGACTGCCTGTCTGCTGACCAAGTTGGAAAAGTATTGGCTTGTCTCTAATATTGACTTCAGTATAAATGCATGCATATACTGTAAATGAGAGCAAGTGACCACATTCTAAACAAGGACTGTTACTTGGGGGCCATTAGAGTATACCAAATACTTTTTTCCCCCAATCTATTTTTTCATTGTTTGATTTAGAAAAAAAAAAATCACATATTTAGATTTAGTGATAAAGGGCTAGCCTAGAGACCAGTCAGCAAAATGGACAAACATCTTGAGAAAGTTGAGGGTAAACAGGAATGTTTCCTCTGGATGAGTCCGACTCTACCAAAGGAAAAGGTCAATCGGGAGAGGTGTAATGTATCCATTACACCTCCAAACAGTTGCCTATTGGTTGCTGGCAATTACTGTGTGAAAATGGTTGAAAAAAGGTATATGGTGCTGCACTAAAACCTCCTTGTCATTGCTTTGGTCACTAGCAGATTGCTGTAGTCAAACATAATTTGAAATATGTCGGTTGTATCTAGAGACCAAAGCAATCAAAAGGAGTTCTTTTGTATAGTCAGCAACCATTTGTCTATCCCCTTGCGACCTGTGGTTGCAAAGGGTTCGCCATCCTGTCTCTAGGCCTACAGGACTGAACCCTTAGATACATTTTTGGCAATCAGCACATTTAAAATCCAGCACATTTGTTTTTTATACTTTTGGTATTATACTTTTATATTTATTTAGATTCATTTATTATGTTTATTATACTCTCTGTGACAGAACCACCACCCACTGAAACTATTGTTTAGACATTCACACACTCAAACTGGAGCCACTGATATTCTAAAGAGTGGAGAAAGGGGCAGTCACAATAACATTTATCATCTTTCTCGAGGGACAGAAGACAGATGACACCAAATTGCTGGCGGTAATGCTTGGGTGCATTCCTGAAGAAGCCCTGGGGACACATCCATTAACCCAGCTGAGCGCCAGAACCAGCTTGTTTCCATGATGTTCACTAGTGTCAAAGTGACATTAGTTTGCATCACTTCTCCATTCCGTCTCTCTCTTTCGCTCTCTCTCTCTCTAGAGGGTAACTTCTCCATCACCAAAATGAGGGAAGATAGCCTATTCCTCCGGGGTTATTTGGGCTAAGCAAAGGCTCCAGTATTGCTGAGTGTACCAGTAACCATTGTATCATCCATCACAGCCTGATAATTGACGCAAATGGAATGGGCCTGGCATGCATGTGATAAAAATCATGGTCTCTAAAAAAGAGAGAGGGTGAAAGATCCAACAAGCTCTCTATTCCATCTGTTCTCCTTTTCTTTGAGGGTTTGCTGATTTTCATTACCCCTGAATAGCACACATGTTACAGGAAGAAAGAAAAGAGGAGCTTAGACACTCATGTGTACCTCCACATTTACAAATGACTCCAGATCATAGCTTCTACTAACTTGGCTTCAGTAAACCTCACCCTGGGATATTCATATCAACTCAAGCAGGGTTAGGCTTTACCCACAGTGAATGGCAAATGTCATGACTGATAAACCAGCTCCAAAGAGAGAGGCGGGGAGCTTTCTCCTCCGCTGAGCTGTGTGCTGCCAAAAGACACACAGCTACCCCTAAAATCTGCCTGTCACTTGTCAGTCAGTTGGGCGAAACTTCTTGAGCTGCTTTCCAAATCAGTGATTCCCAATTAGGAGTACCCCAGGGAGTGGTAATGCATGACCAGGAGCTAATGGACAAATTATCTCAAGTATTGAAGGAAATCAACTGAATTAAAAATGAGATTTTAGCTCATTCAAGATAATTATAACTAAAGGAAATGAAGAAATTTGCATATTGAGGAATTTATAGAGATTGAAATGAGTAAAGGTTGATTCAAAAAAGGAACAGAGTAGTTGAAATCATTTGTCAAAAGTCTGTCTAACAATTAAAATCATAAGACACTGGTCTAAACCCTTCTGTGCCCGCTATATGGAGCATTCATGAAGTAATATTTTAAGAAAGAATTCACCATCATATTACAGAAACAGTCACAGCCTGGCTAACAAGTGCTAAATTTAGTCAGAAAGAAAAAAAGGGAACTTGGCACTTGGTGTTACGCTGGACGAAAGGTGAATGGAATATTGGACGAGAAGAAGTGGGTCACCCAAGGTGGTCTCCTCCAGGCTCATAAACCACACTTTCTCCTGCAGACCCCTCTAACGTGCAGCAGCAGTCAAACCTGATAACAGCCAGAGAAAAGCCTGTAAAGAGGCATTTGAAATTACAGATATTGGCATCAGGAGGACTCTTTCCAGGGTTGTCACTGAAGAGAAGTGGCTGGTGCAGCGCTCCAAGCCAGCAGCTGCCAGAGCTAACATGGCAAACGGTCATGCTTTACGATGTGTTGTTCCTTAATGTATTATTTAGGGCTTCTTTAGACCAGGCAGCTCTCATTTAACTGTATTTTGTTTAGGCGAGGAATTCCTTGTGACAGCACTTTGCACTTTCTTTCACACCCACGCAGAAATAAATTGCCCCTGAGAAAATACTTCTGCTGTTCAAAACCCTGAACTCTTGACAGCATAAATATGAGTGCACATTTTTATACATGGTGTAATTGTATGTTAGCTATAAATCATGATGCAGAGGAACGGTATACTATCCATCTTTCAAAAGCCTCTGCACAAAAGCAACCTAATCACAGCAAAGCAGTCAACCATAAATCTAACTTAAGTCACTTTGTTTTTATGGTGACATTTTTTCCTGCTCTTATTATTTATATCCCTGTTGCATGAATTCATGCTTTCTTCTTCTAGCTCGACTCTTTGTGGCTTTCCATCACAAATGTTTGACAATCCACCTGCTTTTACCAACTTCAAATGAGAGTAAACACGCTTTTTAACACAATTACTTCTCATTTGTACCAAGTGCTTTTTCCCCCCTCTGTGTTCTGCAAAAGCAGTCTGTATCTGAATGGCTCTTTTGTTTAAAAGGCAGACTGGGCAGGGTCAAAGGTCAACCAACTGCCTGCTTCCACAGTGGCTCTAGTGTCTGCTTGGATATGTGCCAGCTACATGCTGTCATGTTTAGACAATGGTCTAGCTTTCCACTGACTGACTCATGACAGCTTCATCATGTTAACCAGTGATGTAATACCTTGATCTCTGGGCATGAAGGCCGTCACTATTGGACTTTGAATAACTTATAAATTATGTCATAGTGTAACCATAATGAAATGCGCCAATGGCGCGTTTCTTCTTCTTGACTGGTTAACAATTTCAGCTGTTTACTCTGGAAATATGCGAATTTAAGCTGGTAGGTTAATTCACCTTTTGCATTTAATGTTTTTTTCCTTTTCCTTTTTTCCTTTTTAATTATTATTTTGTTTGTATAATTCTATTTGTGTTGTCTCAAATTTAACTCAAACTAACCAAGGATAGAAAGGACACTGCTAACTGGACCAGAGGAGAAGTAGAATTCTTGGAGCCATGGACATGCTGATTACCAGATGGATGCACTTTTTGAGTAGGGAGATCATTAGCCTTGCTATTTCTACTTTATCCAATTCCTAAGATGGGCAGGATGTTAAGCCCCAGTCTCACAGATTGAGACCAGCCAGTTACCCCCTGGCAGTCTATAATTTTTGCAACTTCCAGCAACCACTTACCAACCTCTCTGCAAATGCACTTTCCCCCCCCTTACCATCTGGTGTTGAAAACTCGTTTCTAGGTGTGACCAAGACTTTAGATATTGAAGTTTGGGTAAACAACATGGGAGACATCTATTTGCAAACCATTTGTGAATTTCTGGCAATAGCCACTCTCACACTGACGTCAGTGTGCAAGCAACACTTTGTCCCCCCAAAAAGCAAATGATTGGTTTCACGCTACAATCAATAGCCTGAAGACTGCTGAAGGCATTTATCAGATATTGCAATAAGTCACACATCTTATGACATCTTTATATAACAAGCTTGCAAAGTTTCCAAGTTAACATTGGAAGTCTGAGTAACACACACTGTATGAGTGAAATACAGTTCACTACGGAAAGATTTAGTTTAAAAAACACATCTGCTAACCCCAATGTGCTTTTATGTGACTATATTTCAAGTATATGTTAGCAGAAATCAGAAAAAACTTCTACCCCCTCTCTTACCTAGAAAGATGTACAGTCCATCTAAGCAACTTGCTTATAGTAAGTTGCTTATGTTGGTTTTTTTTTTTTTTGCTATCTTCTTCTGCTTCTTTTAAAATCTTTTTTAAAGTATTTGGTGCCAAACATCAGCTTATACGAGTCTATAGCAGTACAAGCAAATCTCTTCAATTTTAGAAATATGAGATGGAAAATACAAAGATGTATAAAAGGTCATGCTTTTAAGGCGGCTTCACTTCTCACAGCTCTTTTTTGCCAAAATGAGTCCAGGTGTGTGAACTGTAAAAGTGAGAATAGAGGCTGTCAGTAAAAAAGAATGACAAAAGAAGACAAGAAAGGCCTTTGCACTTTTTCCAGATGCTTCCATTTAAAATC